TCGGTCGTCTCCCACGAGGCTGGGTGACCCAAAAAAGAAAGGAAAATCCCCAAAAAGAAAATACTTTCATTCATCATTCAACTCTTTCACAACTCACACTGATTCACTGCTTTTGCAGAGGTGCTCAGGAATTACAAACAGTTTCAGACGCATATACGTATAAGATACACAACATAATCCTCCAAACTGCAATATCCCAACTACTCCATTTAAAGTGCAAGGGCATTTGCTATTCCCATTTCCAGGACTCAAAGCCGGTTAGATAAATAACATGAGTAAATGTAAGTTGGACCTGGACTAGCTTGTGCTACTAGGTCGATGTCGTGCTCCTTCCTTCTATGGAAGTGACCTGACTAGGTGGGGTCAGTGGTCTATAGCTGGGAAGGGAGGGCGGTTGGGAAGGTGACAGGAATTCCTTGCATGGGCCAGTTAGGCCTTGCTGCAGTGTTCTGCTCTCTTATGTTCTTATGTTATTCGATAGGGTGGCTGGCTTTGGCTGTCTCTCTGTCCTGTTCACATGTACACTAGTACATTTATAACATAGTGTAAATTACCTAGGATACTCAAAAAAATACAAAAAAAAATAAAATTTCCCTGGCAAAGCATAAACAGACAGTAGACAGACAAACAAAAATGTTGGTGTGTATCAGTGAAAACAAATAAAGACAGTGTTCCCTAAGCACCCATTTATCAAATGTCACAGTTGTCATGACACCATTCTTCAAGGAGTTTTGATATACGTATACTCCAGGCAGACAGAAAGACAGATAAGTAGAGACAGGTAGACAGACATGTTTGTGTGTAACATTGATAAATACAGCGAGGGTTAGCTAAATACATGAGTGAGTGTGGGTGGGTGTGAGTTGGACCTGACTAGCTTGTGCTACTAGGTCTGATGTCGTGCTCCTTCCTTCAGTGGATGTGACCTGACTAGGTGGGTCATTGGTCTAAGCTGGGGGGAGAGGACATGGACCTGCCTTGCATGAGCCAGTAGGGCTGCTGCAGTGTTCCTTCTTTCTTATGTTCTTATATATTCGGCAGGCTGGCTGGCTGGCTTTGTCTGGCTTTGGCTCTCTCTCTGTGTATATCTCTGTATCTGTGCATCTCTCACACTTAGTACAGTTATTATACATAGTGTAAATTACCTAGAATAACTGAAAAAATCCAGGCAAAGATAGATAGGCAGATAGACAGACAAACATGTTTGTGTGTATCAGTGAAAAAAAATAAAGCCAGGGTTCCCCAAGCACCCATTTATCAAATGTCAGTTGTCATAACACCATTCTTCAAGGAGTTTGATATACGTACACTCCAGGGAGACAGAAAGACAGACAGGCAGACAGACAGAGACATGTTTGTATGTAACAGTGGTAAATACAGCGAGGGTTAGCTGGAGCAGTGGGCATTTATCAAATGTCACTGGGCTGCCTTTCATAACACCATGCTTCAAAGTATATGCCAGGGTATCTAAAACATTGCTGGGACCTATAAATACTTTGTATATATTTCTAGACAGTAGTAAATAACCTAGGCAGATGTAAATGTTCACCTGTCAGTGTGATTGTGACTATTTGAGTACAATTTCGGTACTGAATTTAGGGTCAGAACAAAGATTGTCTATGAAATCACAAGAACTATTGTAATTATCAGAACATAAAACATAAATAAATTAAAATAAAAATGAGAAAAAAAGGTATATCAGCAACACTTTGCAAGTGGCAGGAGTCGATGTTGCCATCAGGTGAGCATCCAGAGCCAACTTCATGGTCTTATATCTCGGTAAGTACTGACCCTAAAATTTTTTTTTAATCCTATAACATGTAGAAAAATGTGCTCTTCATTTTAAAATAAAAAAAATTATTTTTTTTATTTTTCAAAGCATTCAGAGCACCACTCAAGTGAATGTAGATCTACGTTTGGACAGTTTCAGGGTCAATGGGAATACCATCTTATTCCTCTTTCCCTTATAATGAGGAACTATACATGCTTTCTGACAATCTCTGAGTACCTTTCTTCCTTTCATGCATGCATATACACATGTATATATATATATATATACAGTGGTACCTCGGGTTACGAACAGCTCAAAACTTAAACAATTATGTAAGTGTAAGTGCATTTTTGGGGTCTGAAGCAGACTAATCTAATTTACATTATTTCTTATGGGAACAAATTCGTTCAGTATCAGCACTCGAACAGCCTTCTGGAATGAAAAAAGTTCGTATCCCAAGGTACCACTGTACATATAAAGTGGGGCCCCACTCATACGGCAGGTTAGGTTCCAGGCTACCGCCAGAAAGTGGACATCGCTGGGAAGCAGAACACCATTTTTTCCCACTTATAAATGCATACAAATGTCAGATAACAAGTTTACACTAACATATATTAAGCTAACAGTAGAACTAGGCATTAAAAACAATTAGAAGTAAAATACATACACAGTACATTCATTACTTACCTTAAAATATTTTTAGTCAATGTAAGGTGAGAGGTGAGCAGTATTTGTAGGAAGTCAGATGTAGGTAGCATGTAGGTGTAAGTAGCCATCCCAAACATAATATACGATTTTTAAATGGCCCCAGAACGATAAAATACAGTACATTCATTTCTTTCTATCTTTAGATGCCATCATAAATGAAGGGAGAAGTGATGAGAAGAAGTCATGCCGAGTGACTGGGTCAAAGACGGATTGATACACATTTCCTCGGGTGCTGGACCAGAGATAACGTAATTTTTACCTTCCACCCAGCTACCACACCTCATATTTATGTGAAATTTATTGTACTGTGGGTGTACGTATCATGTTTTATGCTATGTAACGCATTTCGATATAATTTTG